CCACATGCATGCCCTCTCAAATAAATAAATAAAAATGTAATTTAAAAGTCAAAGAAGCAAGAGGTAGGCTTTTCAATTCCCAAAGAACTCATCCAATGAAAAGACGCACACATGTACACACGCACATGCACACTCCTCTCTTCTTCTACATCTCTTGAATGTTCCTGATGATAACATACCTTGCCTATGATGAAAACCTTAGAAACAGGAAACACATTCTGCTTGCATTGTTAAAACTTGAAAAGCAAAACAATTCGGAACTGCTTGGCCTCACCATCCTGTCACGAGGCAGTTCTGCTCATAATTAACGCAGCAAAATAGGGGAAGGTGGCAGGAAAAAAAATCTCGGTTTACTAACGACTTTTAAGTAATTGCTCACATGTCAAGTGGACTCGGGTTACCAGAATAACATTCTTGGGCAGAAACACCTGCTTTCCTCTGAATACAGCTTTTCAACTAATGTTGCTTTCTCTCCTGAACAGGCATGGATTCATTCTGCTGCTCGGTGAGGAGGCACAGCCATTGACAACCAGAACACTCAGGAAGAGAGGCTGGCCATCCCACATGGCACCAGCACACCCTCGGCACAACATGGGGTGAAGGGAATGGGGTGCAAAGTGCTAAAGAACCAAACTCCAGTGCCAGCCAGAAGGGCCAAACTCCAGCGCCAGCCAGAAGGGCCCTAATGTTCTCAACTGTGCAACTACCCTTTGATTTTTTTCAAAACACACCCAATTATCACTTAGTAAATGTTAAAAGTTCAGGACCCTAGTTGTAAGAACAGAGCTAAGGAAGGACGGCCTGAGGCATTTACAGCGATGGTTCTGCTCTAGGAAGATAAAAACGGACACAGCATTAGAGAGATACATCTCAGATCACAGCATTGCTTCTCCTGATTTCTTTAAGGTATATCTTAAACTATGTCAGTCAGTTACATTGAGAAATATAAAAATCAGGTACTTCAGTGGCCATGGAGAGCGACAAGAATTCTGTCTCAGTGTGAGGATAACTGTGTCTTGGCTGAGGGACACGTGTGTGTACAACCCTCCGGCTTCTGTGAATTATGAAACTGCTGTTAACTTTGTGTACTTGGAAGTTCAGAGTGAATCTGTGATTTATCTAGGCCATTATGAAAGAGAGCATTGGGCATGCGTTCTGGGGACTGGTCTTATTTATCTCTCAAATAAATATAAAAAAGAATGGCTGATGCATGACACATGCAGAAATCCACATATATGTGTGAGTGTGTGCCTGTGTGCACATACACATGTACATGAATACAACTTCAGAGTCCTTTGGGTAGAGAGAGGTACAATTAGGTAGAAGAAGTTGGTATCTGAAAAGAAAGAAATGAAGTACATTTCTGGCTCTTGGGGCCAAGTCATTGGAGAACACCAAATCTGAGCTATGAGCTGGAACTTTATCCTGAGCACTAACCCCGAACAAAGTCAGGATGAGGAAACAGGGTGTATGAGAAAACACACTCTACAACAGTGCATGGTGTGGATGAGAAGAAAGAGCCAGGAGAACAGTCAGGGGGTTCTCCATAATCTGGTATGAAATAAGAGCCTTCAGTAGACTGGTAGACACGCGGCATATTTTTATTTTCATAAATTATATACTGGCATGTTTGTAGTGTGTGTGTGGTGCATGTGTGTGGTATTTGTGGTATGTGGTGTGTGTATACGTGGTATACATATGGTGTGTATGTGTGTGATGTATCTACGTGGTGTGTGATGTATGTGTTGTGCTATATATGTGTAGAGTCGGTGTGTGTGTGTGTGTGTGTGAGAGAGAGAGAGAGAGAGAGAGAGAGAGAGAGAGAGAGAGAGTACCTGTGTGGTATCTAGGACTGAAGCACAACCAATTTCGACCATCCTGAGATTCTGAATCTATAACTTTTGCAGAATACAATAAGAATTGAATTTTTTCTGTGGATGTTTTTCCCTCTCAGGTAAATTAATACTATGGAGAGTTGAGAAGGAGCATGGGTGTCACTACACAGAGCAAAATTCTCTTCTAAAGGAAAACATTTTATTGAGGTTGCCCACTTACAGTTCTCAGGTTCGGTCCATTATCATCATGGTGGAACAAGGTGGCGTTCAGGCAGACATGGTGCTGGAGAAGATGTCCTACAGCTTGGCTTGTGGGCAACAGGAAGTGAACTGAGACACTGGGTGTGGCTTGAGCATACATGAGACCTCAAAGCCCATGCCCACAGTGACACACTTTTTCTAACAAGGCCACACCCACTCCAACAAAGCCACACCCAGTCTTTTTTTTCTTTTAAACTACCATACACAGTAAATACATTGTGTTCTTACATACATACACAATGACAAAATCACCTAGTGACAAGTACCTCAGAATGTATCTAACTGAAGTGACATGTGACAATCACACACACACACACACACACACACACAACACCACAGTTAAGAGAATGAAAATGGTCTGAATGGGCAGGTATTGCACACCCAAATTCATTCACACTTCTCCAAGGGTGAAAAGCTGAAATATAATATGTTCCAGCTTCTTTCACCGTTACAGGTGGCCACGGGACACAGAGTTTGACAGTGAAGTGTAAGTCCACATCTCTACGAGAGGCTACCTTGGTCTTGGCCTGTAAAGTCCCATCTTGAACTTGTACACACCAAATAGGTGCTGGGGACAGCAGTCATCTTGGGAACATGAGGGCAAAAGCCACATGATAGGAAGTGGGAAGTGCTGTAGAAGAAGAAAAGACTTGGGAACTATCTAAGTTACTGTTCCATTTCTGCGGTGAAACACCATGACCAAGGCAATTGGTAGAAAGGAAGCATTTAATTGGGAGTATCAGAGGATTAGGACAGGAACATCGTGGTGGAGAGGATGGTGGCAAGCAGGCAGGCAGGCATGGCACTGGAGAAGCAGATGAGCTCATAACTGAGGCGCAAATAGTAGACAGCAAGGCATTGGGTCCAGTGTGGGCTTTGGAAACATCAAAGCCCACCTAGGGTGACACAGCTCCTCCAACAAGGCCACACCTACTCCAACAAGACAACACCTTTTACTCCTTCCCAAACAGTTCCACTCAGTGGACGTCAAATATTCAAATATATGACTCTATTGGGGCCATTCTCATTAAAACCACCACAAGAACCTTATGGTGCAAGCCTAAAACCACAGAGACTCAAGAAAGCTGAGGCAGGAAGACAAAGTTTTGGTAACTTTGTGAGACCCTGTGTCACAATAAAAATTACAATGAACAAATTAATAAACATTAAAAATGTAGCTGAGCATTTGTGCAGCATGTACAAGGTTCTAAGGTTCAATGTCCCAAACCATGAAAAGAAAAAAAAAACAGATTTATGGCTTGTGGGTTTATGGTGAGATCAGTGAGTAACTGCCTTGGATTATTTCCCCAGAACCACTTCTAACAGACCACACCTATCAAAAACAGTTTTATTTATCTTTATCTGTGGCCAGATGTTTCCTAACCACTATAGTTACAATAAAGCAAGCATGAACACACTGATCTTAAATGAAGCACTTCATTCATTCATTCATGCATGCATTCACTCAAGAATCCTTTTCTTTTGGAAACAGTTTGAAATTGTATTTATTTACTGTGTTCAGATAGGTACCCATGTGCCACAGAAGGCATGCAAAGTCAGAGGACAGCTTGAGAGTTCTCTCCTTTCACCATGTGGGTCTTGAGAATAAAACTCAAATTGTGTCAGGCCTGGCAGCAGGTATCCTTACCCAAAGAGTCATCTGGCTGGCCCTATTCAGCAAGATTTCTAAGAGGAACTACAGCCTTTTTGTTGCCAGCTAAGGGCTGTGGGGAAACCAGTATGGACCCACCCAGAGCCTAGTCTGCTAGAGGAGGGAGTGTCCGAGGGGTTCATGTGACTGCCAGCAACGGTGCTAAAGCAGACTGGATCTTGGCGCTATCTATGCAGCAGATGCCACCTTTCTTACTTAATTCTTTCTTCTGTCTTTTCTTTTAGATAGGGACTCACTGTGTAGCCCTGGCTGACTTGGAACTCACTCTACTCTATAGACCAGGTTGACCTTGAACTCATGGAGATCCACTTGCCTCTGCCCCCTGAGCTCTGGGATTAGAGGTGTGCACCACCACTCCCAGTTCTTAGTCCCTTTTAATGCAAACCCAGCTGTCTCTGCTGATTCCGGTGCTCGAATGAGCTTATGGTCTTTTCTCAGGAAGTTTAACTGTCTCTCCGCTGACACTGGTGAGAGAAACCACGGCAGCCCCGGCACAGTTGAATCAATGAAGCTGAATGGGTGACCTGGTACTGTCACTGTTTTCTTTATGACATCCCAGAGGCATCGCTCTGAACCTGCCTGAGTTCGGCTTCCCAATTTATTTGTAAGTATTGACGTTAAATGAGATAATGATCGTAAAATACATCTTGACAATGCAAACACCCCGGAGAAGTGAGATTATATCAGATAACCTGATTGCGTGCAAACCAGAGTAAATAGGTTCAAAATGAGGACAGTATATGAGTAATTGGAGAGCAGTTTATTATCTTTATGGCATTTATTTTGGCTCTTCTTCCTTCCTCGGAGAGTGAGAGTTTTGAGATAAGTGTGCCTCATCTGATAAAGTGCGGCAGAAGAGTCCCATGGAACGGATTCAAAAGAACTAAAGACAAAATATTCCTTGGTATGTTTATCGCTCAGCAATAACTGTTATCAATCACAGCATAATTCAGCCTCTCACTGTGTGCTCTCACAGCCCTCTGGCCTTTCATTTCCTTTTAATTACATGTTTAATGCCACAAGGGTAACATCTCCATTCCCACGATACGCTAAGTCCCAGAGATCTTAAGTCTCACCTCGGCAGGAGACCAAGGTCCCAGGAAATAGAGTGCGGCTCGCGCTCTGTTCTACCTCCTAGTGCTCTTTGGAGCGGTGTGACCAGCAGCAGAGGTCCCCGAAAGACCTCTCAGCCGCCACCATGGAGAGTTTCAATCTGCTTTCACGCCACATACCTTGTCCTGGGTTTGGCATCGGATACAGTCGCACTCAAAGCAGTACTGGTCCCTCAGCTGCTTCCGGCGTTCCTCGCTGGTCATGAGCATGTCCAGGTAGCAGATGGTGAGCTGCGGGAATGGAGAGGAGAAGGCTCATGTGGCTGCCGTGATCATTTTCTTCTTCAGTTATTATGGCTGCCAATTCTTAGAGTAAGACATCGACAAGGCGCAGGAGGGAAGGGACCACCGATAGGCTCTTCCCCAAGGGACTGTAATGTGCCTTCTTCTTGTCTGACTCAGTGTAAGCACACAGACATTACATGTTTAGTCTAAAGGACTTGGCTTATAACCGTGACACAGTTTTGTACTTTATGTTTGTTTTTCCTTCCCCCTTCCATTAAATAGTAAAACATCAGGAGTTATTCCATGTTTGGGATCACTAAGGTTTGCCTGTAAATTCGATGTATGACCACTGATATTCAGGGAAACCAAATTCACGCTAGCAAACAAATGAGCGGCAGATGATGCAGCCAGATTGGCTTTAAATACTGGCTGACTGGATCACTGTTTCCTGGAACTTGGGGCTACCTGTATTTGACAGTTTTGAAATAAGGAGATATTTTGTCACTTGTTGCTTAGTTTTTCTTTTTAAAAAGCGAACTGACATTTCCACTTGACTGAATCCCCAGCACATAGAAATCAAATTCACAACAGAACACACACACACACACACACACACACACACACACACATGCATGCGCACATGCACACACGCGCGCACACACACACACACACACACACACATCCGCTCCCCGTAGAGCCTCCCTAGTTGGAGAAGGGTAGACAGTAGCTCCTATTTCGTGCTGTCCAGACTGAACCTTTAGTGTCTCCCTTGACTCTACCAAAACCACCAGGATGTTCTGTTAGCTCCACTTATTAAAAGTAAATCCAGAACCAACCGCTTATAATCATTCCCAATGTTGCATCCAGCCCTGGCCCACCACCATCTCGAGATGGTTCTCCACTCCCCCCCCACCCCACTAGAAGGACTCTCCCGCAAACTGAAGTCAGTCAGGCTTTCTTCTGTTTCAAACACTGCAACAGCGCCCCCTTTTGTCCAAGGAGGGCCAAGACCTCACAGTGCCACCTAAGGTGCATCCTTGGATCTCATGGGCTCTAGGCTATGCTGAAATGGGAGAAGAAACACAGTCCTCCTTTAAAAACTTGTTCACTACTTTGGTAAGATTGTGTGTGTGAATGTGTGTGTTTGTGTGTATGAATATGTGTGTATGTTTGTGTGTGTGAATGTGTGTGTGTAATTCTAATGACAAAACATTGGGGTTTTGTTGTTGGAGGTGATGGTATTTTACAGTCTTTAAATTTTCATTTTTCTAATTTTGTAAGAATATTAGTATGTGATGATCCACGTAAAATATGAGTCTTTCACCACCGGGGATAGAGAAGCAACAGATTCATACACACTGCCCCCACTGGCCCCTCCCTGGGCCATACCCTCCCCTTGCCCTCGACTCTCGCTGCCCTAGCTGGTCTGGTATTTTTTGCTGTCCTTTCATATTCCCACTTCAGGCCTGAGTTCTCCCAGATTCACCAAGGTGGCCTCCCTGGTCCTCTTGGATTTCAATCAAGTCCCATTTTCTCAAGGAGCCTAACCCTCCGCCTACTAAAAATAACAACTTGGTTCCCACCACACCCAGCGCCCCTCCCCCTTTCCCCTTGTCTGAGTTTGCTTTCTTCTTGTAATGGACATCAGCTTGTACTGTGCTCTATAAATGACTTATTTATCTGCTTCAAACGCAGAAGGTAATTATGGGGGTCTGGGTGGTGGGGAAGCAGGGGGCACTGGAGGAGAGAGAGGCAGGATTAATCTGCGGGAAGAGTTAAGGAACCTCCCTCGAGCAAACACTCCATGTGGTTTTTCTTCTGCTGAAAACAAAGTATCACAAGTCTTCTGACGTGATTTCACTTGTTTGGACTCAAGGTGGGGCGGGGAAGGCCCTGACAGAAAACAACTCCAAGGCCGTCTCCTTAAAGCTCCAGGAGGAGGAGGAAGCCTGGTCAGTCATTTCTGTCAACCCCACACTGTCACCAGGGTGACAGAAGATAAGACCTGAGCTGACTCAAGGCCTCAAACCTCCAGGGTGCTGCCCTCCACACAGGAAGGCGTGCCTGCCCCGAAGGTACAGACCTGCTCTTGCCAAACATCTTCTGGGAGTGCGGCACTCCCGCAAGAGCGTGCAACACTGAAAACCAGAAAAAGGACTGGGATTTGCATTTAACCCAAATCAAGCCTGGTGCTCCTTCTCCTGGCCAGTGGTGCCCTTCTGGGGTGGCCGTGGAACCTAACACCAGAGGGAGCCAATACAGCTCCGCCCCCCAGCTCTGTGCTTACAGTGTAAACAAGCAGTGCAGAGCAGTGGGGGCAACTGGGTTCCTCCCAGCCAAGGCAATGTTCACTTTTTCATTTCCTACATCTTCCTCCAGCATTTTGATCTAAAGGCAGGGGCACCTCAGAAGTGAAAGGGCTATGGTATTAGGCAAGTTCCCATGGTTCCCAGAGAACACCGTGCTCCACAGTTCAAGCAACCAGTCTGGAACATCTTTACTGGGAGGTCTGAGGACATCCTCAGGCTCTCTGGTCCTGGCGTTTTACCCAGATGAGGGGGTAAACTAGCTGATGACCATACTCCCTCAGAACTCATCCTGGAGCCCCGTTTCTCACGCCAGTCCAGTCTCTAGCCTCGCTAGCAGGTTAGGCAAATGGCACAACATCTTTGGTAGGTTACACGCTACTGCAATGTCACCAACAGCACAGTGTCTGACTTCAAGTCTGCATTATGAGAGCTAAAACTCAAGCTGAGCAGTGGTGGCGCATGCCTTTAATTCCAGCACTTGGGAGGCAGAGGTACAGAGATAGGTGGATCTCTGTGAGTTCGAGGCCAGCCTAGCCTATAAGAGCTAGTTTCAGGACAGGTTCCAAAGCTACAGAGAAACACTGTCTCAAAAAACAAAACAAAATAAATAAAAAATAGCTAAAACTCTTGAGTGATCTCCAGGCAGTGAGTGGATAATGGGAGACCAGTTATTTCATTTAACCCAAATAAACAGATTCTTTAAGTCTTTCTAGGTAGCATACAAGTGCCTGAAGATCAACCTCAGCAATGGTTTTCTAAATGGCCTCCCACTGGTTTCTCTATCTTTCACCTTTTAATCTATGAGAGAGAGAGAGAGGGGGGGGGGGGGGGAGATAGCTCCCTAACACATCTGATTTTCACCACACAGGGCTTTTTTCCTACATTGATAGTACGTCTACTTCCTAGCCTCGATGTCTTCTCCTGTACCCCACAGTCTGCCTGTCTTGACTATATAGCTCTGTCTCTGAAATGTATGACATCACTGGGATTCCATTCCCTACTGCCTACTTCAGTGCCTTTTCCTTACCCTCGTCCTTCATGATTGGCTCAAAAATGCCCCCTCCCTCACAGACGGGAACTCATTTTGCCCTTTATGGCTCTTCTATGCCACTGGAGTTCGCAAACCGTTGTGGACCAAAGCCGAGGGGCTGCTCAGTGGCTAAAACATTCCAGAAGTGCACAGCCAGATTGAAGTAGCAACTCAATCATTTTATCAGCCAAAGATAAAAACCTTTATTAAGGGCTCATAGATTTGCAAGTTTAAATGGAGTCATTGCTCACTACATGTAGGGCTCATTTAGTGGGCACATACATACAAAACTTGGCCATTGATCAACCGATGCTTTAATGGCACAGAACAAAATCGCATTAAAATATTAATGCTCTGACCATTGCTCTGCCATTTAAGTGTGGCTCTTATGAAAAAATGCATAAATCATTTCTAGCTTTGGAGTAATATTACAGGGGTTTCTGGAGCTTGATTATAATGCCTCTGTTCAAATTGCAAGGCATAGAAAACCTCTTTCACTGAAACCTTCTTTCCCATCAACAGGAGAGTGCGGAGTAAAACCAAATCTTGTCTTCATTTCTGCAACACATTGTCACAGTTACATAGTTCTCCATTACTGGCTCTACACTGAAAAACAAAAGGACAAAAAATTCGCTTCTTTTTAAAGTCAAACCTCAATGTCCTCTGTCCCTTCTTTGTCATATAAATTCTATTCATTTTAAATCAATTAAATCTTAATTAATCTATTAATTAATGATTCTGCTAATTTTGGATTCTAAATGAAATATTCTTCACCTCTTCTGTTCTGAGCCACCACCCAGTCTCCTCCTGAGTTCAGACTGTCACTGGCAGCTCTTGCTTGAGGGATAGCTTGACCCTCATCCTCTCACTCCTGTTTACACATAAAGTCTTGCCATGCCTCCTCCTTGATGTCAAGGGTGCCCACTGCCTTGCCCTCTGCCACACAGCCGACACTACTGGGAAATCCTCAGGTCAATAGCATTCTGTAAAAAAGCCTTAGACACTTGTCCAGTCCCTATGTATTCTCCATTCCTGGTTACAATGAATTCTTCAGTCCCCTCCAAAATAAGAATCTTCTGTTTCAGGCACTTTCTAGTCTCTCCTCCTTGGACTTACATTCTGATCCTCACAGCCCACCTGGTCCACATCAAAACCGAGGAGCCTACTGAGCAACAAAGCCGAAATGCAAACTTGATGCCACAGAATCACCAAACTTTAAATTTACTCGTCATCAGCTTAACTAAAGCTCACATCGAAGGATAAGCAGGAATTAGCCCTCTTAGCCACAGCATCCAAATGTTTCCTGTACCCGCCACCACTGCAGGCCTCTGGTCCATGGGGTCAGTGTTAAAGGTTCAGGATGAATTTTGATTGGTCATAGCCACACAGCATTAAGTGGGTGTGGCCTAGAGACTCTCATCTTGATGATCCGCAATCCTATGGATGAGCTAGTCCACGCAATGCCCTGGAGAGAAATGCTGCTGATCTCAGTCAATTCAAGAGTGCCAGATACTTCCCAGGTGTGAAGCTAGCACTGGGAGATGGGGAAGAGGTGGGACTCAACTCAATTGCTGCCCCTGTGAAATCACAGTGGCATAGGAAGTCCCCGGAGCCAGGATAAGTACCAAATGCATATTAGTAACCACTAAGAGGGTGAGTTCAGAGTAAAGGTCCTCCCCTCAACCTGGGAAATCAGAAAAGCTCCAATGATGAGAGGGGGTCTGGAAGGGCCTTGAAGGGCACAGGATACAGAAACTACTAGAAATGGTGCCAGACAGAAGGACGGCCATGCACGGGAAACGCCATTCACCAACAGGTGCACAATGCGAGCACAGACAAGAAGATGCAACAAGAGCCTCAGAAGACACTCTTAGAGTTGAGAAGAGTCCTTGATAAGCATCCCAGAGGGAGGCACTTTGGTCTTCAGTGCCCAGCACTGAACTGGAACATTTCTACTGGACAAGAAGAAGCACTTGCTTGTCATTCTAGAGACAGAGGACAGAAAAAGTGAAGCAAACACAAAAAACACGGGTTTACTGTTTTTGTTAATTACCTAAAAACTAACCAAGGAGGAAAAATGGTAGCCGGGCTTAGAAAGCCCCAACCCCATCTCATAGCTTTTCTAGGTTCTAGCATCTTCCAGTGCTGGGAATTGAACCTGGGACACTGTACATGCTAGGTGCTCTACCACTGAGTGATACCCTAACACTATTTTGGTTAAAACATCGTTACCATCAACAGCCACTTCTGCCTTTAAATGACTTACAATGACTCACTTTAATTGTCAACTCGACTGCATTAAGATATGACTAGAAAATTATGAATGCACACCTCTGTTACCTATCAATGAGGGAGTTTCCAGTGACAGGTAGACTGGGAGAGCGCTGATCCATGTATTGAAAACTTAAATAGAATCTTAGAAAGAGGCACACCTGAGGGAGGTGGGGCCTGGTTGAGGATGTGGGTCACCGGGAACCACATGGCTCTGGTCCCCTGGATGGAGCTCCACTCTGTCTACTATAATGTGAACTATCTCACTCCTCTTCATGGTCAAGAGATGAACAGCCTCCATTACATGTTCCTGCGGCCACCGGGGACTGTTTCGCTACAGTCCAGAGACACGGGGCCAACTGACCATGGACTGAACCCTCCAAAATATGCGATTAAATAGACCATTCCTCTTTCTAACTTATGTCAAGCCACAGCAATGCAAAAATGACAAGCATCCTAACAGTACTGAACATAGATAGAAGAGGTTCCCTGTCTACCCTGCCTTGAAGTCACATGACCCCAGAGAAACAGATCTAAATTCCTCAAAGCATAGCTAGTCCACACTAGTCCTAAAGGCTGGAGACTCAGCTAAAGGGCCTGTGTAAGAGGCAGTGTCCTTGGCTGCAAATAAGTTTGGAAGGAATCCCTGTCTCTATAAAATATGGTAGCTCTGAGTTAGGGCTTTATTTGGGGGAGTGCTGTGTGAATGCCGTAAAAGCTTATGGCCCGCCATTCCTTGCAGTAAATATCCACTTTAACAAATTGGAAGGCAGGAGGAAATGGAGTTCTGGAAAACATGACTACAACCAGAGCTCAGCATGGGTAGCAGCCGCAAGAACTCGGCAGACTCTGTGTGGTCCCGCAGCCTATCTGTAGTCGCCTGGGGGAACTCCGGCTTCTGCAACGTCCCTCACCTAAGAAGCTGGCTTGACCATCTTACACAAATGACACTGGCAAGTCCTGTTTGACCCTGTACCTTTGCTGAAACCATCACCCAGAAATGCTGAGGGGCTTACAGAAGCCCAATGGCAAAGGTCTGAAAGAGTAAACCATGTCTACTTTCTTTATACAGAATTTAAAATACCTTCAAAATGTGCTTAGAGGCTTTGGGGGCAAGCCCCGGGGATGCCACTGACAAGCTGGGTTGCCTCTCTAGCCATGGAAGAATGGCTGTTCGCTGGGATGCGACAGGCAGCTGAACTGTCATTGCCAATGAGGAGATTTAATGGCTTACATGCATGTGCACAAAACACCCAGGCTCCGTCACAAAAGAAATCTCTCTAATATATGTCAGAGGATTATCATGCAGAAACCCAGGGGCCAAGACCAAAAACTATGCGTAGATTCATCTACAGCTTGCTTTGTGAGTGCTTCAAGTGCCTTCTTGGTGGCAGGGCAGCAAAGAGCTAGCTGTAAATGGTTGTAGGTGGGTGCCACACTGAGAAAGGCATTGAAGAGTGGAGGGGGATGGGTAGGAGGTGTATGGGAAACAGGAAGTGGGAGGCATGGATTTCCTTACCTCATCTCCAGCCTCGATTTCTCGCACTGCACGCAGCAAGAGATGGGGCCCGTTGAACACAATTGAGCAGTTGGGGTCACAGCTGTGATTCAGCAGAGACATACTAAAGGAAAGAAAAAAGGGGGGATCATCAATGCTTACAGTTAAGCAGCTACATTAAGTGGAAACAACAGCCAAAGACACTTTGGGTGGGAGGGTCCAAGATGGGTTTGATAGAGAGGAAATGGGGATGGGGCTCCAGAAGCATTCATATTCATATGATCATAGGTTTGCCCATACCCTGCTTCATATGAAGTCAGATACTTCTCATAACAGAGGCTAATTAGGGAAGCTTGATAATAAAATCATTTTTTAGTCCTTTGAGGGATGGATTGCATTAGAAATAGCCCAGTAAGGTGAACCGAATGAAGGTGCTACTGACAAGTAGCCTGCAAAGAGATCATCTCCGAGCTAACAGCAATCACAACAGTCACCCGAGGTTCCACTGACCCATAAGAGGGTCTCACTGCTGAGCTCCGGTAGGGGAGGGCAGGGCCTCTGCTAGATGCTCACACTGAGGAATAATGGGTTGGGGGGACCTGCTCTCAGTAGGTCCTGATGCATTCTGGGAAGGAGCCTCGTCACGATTTTCCTGGAGGTTTCACATGGGAAACGCCAGGACTTCACACCCTGAACTGACAGCAATTAGGGCAAAGGAGTACTCTGTAGGAAGTACTTGCTCAGTACCGGAGCAGAGGGACCAACTCCAGCCACCCTAAAGACTGTAGAGGACTACGTCCCCTCTCCCAACAGAGTTTGCCCTCAGGGTTAGGGACATCTTTTAGTGGTTGGTTTAGGGTTGAGGGGATGGGGAGATATTTTACGAAATTAGGGGTATTTAAAAAAAAAGGGGGGGGGAATTAACTGGTTTGATGGGATGACTGGTATTTGTGATTTACTGTTTTTAGAAAATTGTATTGGTACTGTTTCTTGTATATTGACATATTGAATATTAAATGTGAGTGTTCCTACCCCTATTTTTGTATAAGAGTATGCTTATAACTTTGTCTATATTGTATTGATACATCTACCATATTACAATGTACATTTCTACCTCTGATACTATTTATATAATAACATTGTTTACATTTGTCTACCTCTGATACTATTTATATAATAACATTGTTTACATTTGATATGTAATGACATTGTTGAAGATCATTGTCTTCATATATTGCATAGTTGTTTATTCTCTTAGTCTTCAAGTTAGATAGGTATTGAGAATTATATGTTTGTCATATTTATTTTTAGGTTAATCAGGTTTTTTAGATATATAGAGATTATATTTAGTATAAATAGTATGATCTTCAGCCTCTTCGAAGAGCTGTAGAATATGGCCTTTAATCTAACCTAGAATTCTGTGCCAACGAGACACAATCACTCCTGGCAACGCCACTCTACTCCCAAGAGAACGTCGAGCACCAAAAACACTCCACTGGGAGCTTGTCTTCTTGGCAGAACTGGCCTTTGGGTTAAGAAAAGCCCATACCTCAACTACTGACAAAGATACAAAATATCCGTAAGTGGATAAAACAGGATTGTCTTATCCTGCCAAGACAGGGTAGGATAGTTCTAAAAAAATTCCTTGCCTTTAATAATGGTATGTCAGTTATGTTAGGCCTTAGCCAAAGTTGGTTGACTCAACATTGCAAACGAGACTTTGGATGATTGGCCAGGTAGTCAGTTGTCTCTGTCATTTGTTGCACATTTTGGATATCTCTCATTTGTTAAGTAATATTAATTTCCTTCTCAGATCTTTGACGGAGTTAAAGATTATATAATTGTAGTTACTCTCTACATTATTTAGATTCTTTGAAATAGAACATTTGGTATATTTATTATTTGTTTCTATTGTATATAGTTGTATTTGGTTTGGTTCGATCTTATTTAGACAAAAGGGGGAGATGTAGGGGAGACCCAAGCAATCACCTTGCTAGCAGGGGGCGGGGTCCCTTGAGGATATTTTGTACTTATAAAGATTGCGGGCGTGCTCCCAGCTGCCCCTTCTGCTTTCCTGTTCTCCGCAGGAACCTGTGGTTCTGTAAATCTATTTCCCCCTTAAAGCTGTATATATTATTACAATCTGTCTGCATTCATTTACGCCGCTACACACGACACTGTGAGGGTTAATCACAGGTGAAGGGACCAATGCCTAAGAATGAGACGGCTTAGCCAAGGATGCACAATTTAACTGGGGACTGAACTGGAACCAGGTGGCCCAAGCCCAGAGCCCAAGCTCTGAAGTCCTCTATGCTGTTGCTTTTTGATACACGTGCTATCAATAGAGCTGACCTGCACCCAATGACACACGAGGGTGTAAGAGAGGAGGCTGGATGGAAGTCAGGGTAGTTCTAGTGCTGGGCTTCATGCCATCTAGCTCAGGGTCAAAGGCAGCCACACTGATGGCTGAGGAACACTACAGCAGGCTACTCCAGTCAAACTTGGCCTCCTAGTCCCATGCCATCTTAATACCATATAATGTGTGTAGCACGAGTTCTAATTGTTCTTAGTAAAAACCTGGAGTCAAATATTAGGGGTGAAAGCTGAGAGATCAGAGAAGCAGAGCGGCCATCCACTAGAGAGACCTTTTATCTCTACCGATGCTCAGACCAAAGGGATGATCCTGTTCTCAGACCGTGTTCTCTGACTGCATCCTCAGACTGCAGCTGAGCTTGTGTCTCCTCGGGCCTTATATCCCTCTCTGTGCCCAGCCATATCATTTCCCGTCTCCACCTCCCTGGTGCTGGCATTAAAGGCATGTGACTCCCAAGTATTGGAGATTAAAGGTGTGAGTCACCACTGCTTGGCTCTGTTTCTCTTTTAGACTGGAACATTATTGTGCAGCCAAGCGTGGCCTTAAACTCACAGAGATCCGTTTGCCTCTGTCTCCTGAGTGCTAGGATTAAGGGTGTGTGCCACCACTGCCTGGGCTCTACGGCTAACTAGTGGCTTAGCTCTGCACGCTGATCTTCAGGCAGGCTTTACTTGCTAGATCACAGACAAAATATCACTACAAATATGGGTTATAAGACTTAACACTTTTACAGCCTCTTGTGATTTGCCACACTAAGTTTTGAGTTTGACTGTTGAGCTGGCTGCGACAAAAGCCTTCCTAATGTCCTGCAGACGGCTGGCGTGCGGGATGGGAGTGAGTGGGTTTGGGATGTCTGCCATACCTGGGGTACAGGCCAACGCCAACCTCCTGCATCTCCGCATTGCAGATGGTGAACGAGTTGCAGATCACCTGTGGAAACAAGAGGGGCCCTTGTTAGACGTCCACTTGAGGAATCCCACAGGCACTCGCGAAGGCTTGTGTTTTTGGGGGGACTGCTTGGGGGGTCTCCCCAAGCATGGACTTCAAAATAAGTTCTCAGATGCACACCCCCCAACCCTGGGGAGACACAAAGCTTCAAGGAACATGGAAACTATTAACTGTCGTCTAACCTCCCCCACCCACGTTCTGCAACTCCATGAAATGTTCGAAATTCAAAATATAAATAAGCTAGTCATGAAAAACTTAGCTCCTGTGGCACTGCCCCTTCTCAGGCTGCTGCCCGGTCCAAAGGCCCCTTTATCTAAGGAATACAGCAGCCTGTTTGTTTTTATTCCTACAGAGTGAAGCGCACCCTGAGGGAGTCTGTGATCCAAGCTGCCCACAGACCACAAGGAGGACAGGAAGCTGACTCCATGGGGCCACAGCACATACTGAACACACAGAGCCCCTGGCTGGGCCTGTGGCGTGTACCTGTGCCCTTTGGGAAGATAAGAAAAGAAAGGAAGAAAAACACAATCACGCTATACAGGGAACTTGAAAACCTTGTTTGTGCAGGAGGCAATGCAATGTGTCCGAGGCCACAAGGAAATGTGCGCGGGGCACTGGGCTTGAGCCACTAGTCTGGACCCTGGCACGAGATGATATCCACACAGACATTAGGAAGAGAAGCGGGGGAAAGCCAAGGTGCCCCCTCTCACAGAACGTAAGCTCTACACAAAAGGAAGAAATCCCCAACATGAAGAAGTTATTACTTGTGAGGAAGAGAAGTGAATGAACGTGAATAATTCCTGGAAAGAAGCTGAGTCTGCAAATACAGATGGGCCGACGGGCTGGCGACCTAGAACTCCAGGGAGGGAGAGTTGGAATGCTACAAATCCAGAGCCTAGCTGCAATTCCTCTTCAGCTGCGACTAGCCTCCTGGAGAGGCGTCCCTGGCCTACCTTGGTGTCAGACCTAATTCACTAGAAAAACAGATTAAAACCTCTAGAGTGGATTAACCTTGCAAAACCCTATTCTCCACCAATCAAAGGGCTAAGCATGCTACCAGATAGCATGCAAGGCCTATAACCGAGATTTCCCCACCATGGCAGTAACCTTCTCTCTAGTGTTTCCACCAATGCGTTTTGAAAATTTCTTGATTTATTACTTTGTTCTGTTACAATAAAAACTCCATGAAAAGGCTTCAAAAATGAGATATGGAATTTGGGGTAACTTAAATCTGTGTTTCCATGCCATGCTGCTCAAATTGACTCCATAATAGACTAGCTCATATTCTTTGTGAGGTGAGAGCCGTGTTTTCGTGACAGGGACATGAGAAAAAGAGGTGGCATATAAACAGGGAGTGGGAGGGACGACGGGAATGACCCCGGGCTTCACTGGCGAGGAAAGTGTTGCAGCTGCCCATCGGAGTTCAGAGGGCATCGATTCCAGGCTCTGGTGTTCTGAAACACAGGGCTGCTCCAGGGACTCAGGCATAGAAGGAAAAGCAGAGACAGTTGACGAAGAAAGGAAACGCACTCCTGAGTCCAGGGGTGGGCCAGGGAGCTGAGGAGAAAGCCCAAGGCTACGGGGCGTGAGGCAAACGACAGTGCATTGACAGAACCCCCATTTGTACAGCAGAATTTCTAGAGCGTGCCCTGTTCATTCTATGAAGTCCAAGTGAGGAAGGGCGTCTTCTCTAAATTAACCATGATGTAGCTTTCTTTCTCCGGTCTGTATTCTCCAGACACAAAGGTGTATGTCACTAAACAAACAAACAAACAAAATGTGTGGGGGCCTTTGAGGTAGGGGCGTTTGGGCGCACACGGCAAGAATGCTGATGAAGCCCACAAAAGTGGTTAAGATCAGAGAGGTAGCTAGACCACACAGGACTCTACAGTTATGCTGGGAATTCTATTTTAGGTGAGACGCCAAGCAAAGGAGTAAATGGGTCTGATTTCTGTCTGCAAAGGACTTCTCTGACAGCTACACACAGAAGGAGGTGTTAAAAGGTGAGCCCACGTGGGTAGCACATGGGTCAGAGGCCCCTGCCATAACCCAGGCAACGGCTTGGACACCAGCTACAGAAGTGGGAGGAGTTGGCAACAGGGCCACCAGCTTCCCTGGAGCACTGCTGATGGGAAATGGAGTCGGGACAAACTTGGGGCTTGGCCTATGAGTGGGTGATCGTGGCTGTCATTTATTCAGAGGAGGAAGAAGACAAAAGGAGTAAGTCTGGCATGAAGTGGGAGGCAAGGCTTTGTTTTGTTATGGTGAGTCTCAAACGGCCCAGTTCACCTCAAAGCCCAGACTAGGAATGAACAAATGGAGTCTGGGGGACAGTTAGGGGCAAAACTATAAATCTGGAATGAAATATAGAAAACCCATCAGAAAGAAAGGGGACAGAGCATGGTTGAGATAGATCGTGACTCCAAGCGGATGCCAACGGCTGGCGTTTCTGTGCGGAAGGGCTGAGACAGCAAACTTCTCCGTCAGATTTACAGGAAGGCACCGAGAACATGCAAAGGTCCCCAGTCGGCGGCGCCTTTGCTGCTAACTCTTACAAGGAAGCTAAGCAAAGCGTCGCTATCTGGCTCCCCCCGAAAGTCTGATAAAACCACAGCTTCAAATCAGGAAGTAAATGGGTGCACAGACACATTTTAAACAAATTCTGGTTAAATTGCAGCTTTCTAGGCATCTGCTTTGTATTAAGCGGCAAGGGTGTGCTGCCTGTATATGCCAATATACACAGTGCAAGATAAACCGACAAGGCTAAAGATTCTGGGGATAGTTTTTGAAATTTTAAATATTCTTAAACTGGAGCGGTGTGATTACAGATTTTAAATTTTAAAATGTATCTTATAGTATATTCAGAACAGCAGGGAAAGCAATCTACCAACAAAAAGTCAGACCAAGCAAATAAAATTTGCTAATATTAGATTACAATTTTCCTGAATTTTGAAGCAAATTAAAGGTTCTTCCAAAGTATTTTCACTCTGATGGACTCTCTAAGGATGAAAGTCACAAGCAAAACAAAATACTAGCTTGCTGTTTTTCTCAGGGACGTGTTTTCTCAGTCCTGGACTCGGGTGATGGTCTTCATGCCTTTAGCAGCATTTACCACACTGGACCATTGCCCACTGGTACCCTGCCCTACACTGCCCACTGGTACCCTGCCACGCATTGCCCACTGGTAGCCTGCCCTACACTGCCCACTGGCACTCTGTTCTACATTGCCCACTGGTACCCTGCCCACTGGCACTCTGTTCTACATTGCCCACCGGTACCTTGCCCTACACTGCCCACTGGCACCCTGTTCTACATTGCCCATTGGTACCCTGCCCTAAGTTGCTAAGATTGCTTAATGGTGCCCTGTCCTGAGAGACTCCATTTTACAAACAGCTTTTGAGTCCATCTTGAGGATAGAGAACGACTATGTACCCGGGTGGACATATGAGTGACACTAAACATGACACGTACTCATGATTTATTTCCAAGAGTACAAATGGTATGACCCTATTAATTTATTGAGGTGAGTTGGGAGTACAGGAATACATGGGGATATTAAAATCATACCACAGAAACCACGTTCAAGAACTTATCAGACCGCAGCAGACATGGAAAGGTACAACTCCCTCTCTTGGGTCACACAGAGAGTTGGGCACCTAGCCCTGAGATGGCAATGGCCCCAACAGTCTATTACCTGGCTATCTAGTGCATGCTTCAAGGGATGGACAGGTGGAGAACTCCTGGCTGTCCCAGGGGCTTCAGGTTTAGTTCTAGTTCCTACCGTTGACAAGGCCCTGCTCAAACTGCCATCCCCCTGTCCACCTGTGCACTGCCTGGGACTACTGCTCATCCATCTACTTGGACCCAGATGAGTCTTTCCCTTCACCTAGTCCCCAAAGTTCAATTCTGACCTTGCAACTTGGCTCTCCAGCCAGCATCTTCAGATTCTTCTGGACCTGGGCTTTGAGCGTTACCTCCCCTCCACCAAGTCCACTTTACGCTTCTATCGGATTCCAGCTCTGCCCTTTCAGGTCTCTTACACCATTCTATAACCTAATACATAGTTATTTATATCCACAGATACTAAGTAGGCTTTTACAATGTGACGTGTAATGTGTGACCTGAAAGTTAATATTAATAATTGAGGTCATCAAGGAAAGCAATACTATTTAGCAAGTTGAGTCAATGATACCACTATGACTTGTGAATTTATTGTTATCTAATAAATTCTGACATTTTGGAGAAACACAGTCATGTTTGTCTATGTTTCCAATGCATGGAGCTCATGCACCCATTTACTTGGTGGTATGTAGAACCAGGACGGGGGGGGGGTAGTGATTCATTTATTCTCATGCTACACAGAAGCCACTACTAGACATATTTAGACAGATGAACTGCTTCATAGATGTGGTCCTCAGCATTCCCAGGGGTCACTACCTAGAGCAGGGTCAGGGAAAATGTCTTCTTATAAATAAAAAATGTGCTTATTTGTCAACTCCTACTTTTATTAAAAATGATAGGTCCTGGGTCAGCGAGACAGTTCAGATGTTAAAGTGCTGTGCTACAGCCTGACAACCTGAGTTTGATCCCCAAACCCATGGTAGCATTTCCTGAAAGCTACATGGAATGGAAAGAGAGAACCAATCCCCCACAAAGGTATTCCTCTGATCCTCTAGATGCAACACAGAATGCACATATGCAAGACAGAATGCACATATGTCACATACATCATACATGTACACACAAAGTGATGATGATGATGATGAGAGCCATCACAAACCTACATACATCATACGCAAGCACACAAAGTGATGGTGATAATGAGGGTGATGATGATGACAGACTGCTGAGTCAATTTAATGGCACATTGATTAAGAACATAACCGGAGATTTTTTTTTTTTTTTTTTGCACAGGTCACAATAGGCACCATGGCTAGATACAGCTCTTGGGCTCTACTTTCTGTTGAACGGACAGACAGATA